TCACAGAGAAATGCAAATTAAAATCACAATGAGATATTACCTCACATCAGAATGGCTATCATTGATAAATCAACAAACAGCAGGTATTGATGAGGATGTGGACAAAAGGGAACCCTTGTGCACTCTTGGTGAGAATGCAGTTTGGTGCAGCTGCTGTGGAAAGCAATACAGAGTTACTGAAGAAAACATAGGCAGTAAAATCTCAGACATTTCTTATAGCAATATTTTTGCCCATATATCTCCTTAGACAAGAAAAAGAAAACAAAAATAAACAAACAAATGGGACTACATTAAACAAAAAAGGTTTTTGCACAACAAAGGAAACTATCAACAAAATGCAAAAACAGCCCACTGAATGGGAGAACATATTAGCCAATGATACATCTGGTAAGGGGTTAATATCCAAACTTCATAAAGAACTTATAAAACTCAACACCAAAGAAACAATCAATTAAAAAATGGGCAAAGAACCTGAATAGACACTTCTCCAAAGAGGACATGCAAATGGCCAACGGACATATGAAAAGATGCTCAATGTCACTAATCATTATAGAGATGCAAATTAAAACTACAATGAGATATCATCTCACACCTGTCAGAATGGCTTTCATCAATAAATCAACAAAAACAGTGTTGGTGAGGATGTGGACAAAAGGGAACCCTTGTGCACTCTTGGTGAGAATGAAGTTTGGTGCAGCTGCTGTGGAAAGCAATACAGAGTTACTTCAAAAAATTAAAAATGGAGCTGCCTTATGACCCAGCAATTCCACTTCTGGAAATTTACCCAAAGAAACCAAAAAAACTAATTCAGTAGAACATATATACTTAAATACAATTTAAAAAGTGACTTTTCAGCAATTAGGAACAGCTTTTTGCATATATACTTCGTAAATACTTTCAAAGTACTTTCAATTATGGTTCATTCCAATATTTTGTAAAGTTGAATTTTTTTACATACAAACTCTGAATCATAAAAAAATGTAGCATCAGAACTACAGGGGTCTGATATAAATAGTGCAATGTAAATGTAAACAATAAACTCTCACACTCACCATTATCCAAACTTAAGGGGGAAAACGTATAAAATTAAATTTTAAAGGCTCCCATATCGGGAAGCTTAGGAATTAAAATTTCTATGCATCAAACTATAACTAAAAAGATAAACATAACTTGTGAAAAGGGACTTTAATAGAGATATTTAGGGTTAGGTTCATATATGCTGTTCAGTTATCATTAGAAAAGTTAAATTGCTTTCCAAGTTGTTAAAATAACTAATTAATAATCTCTAGATATTTTATAACAAAACTTGGCGTTAAATCACCAATTGTAGCATTTTGCAAAATTAGTATCCTACATGAATAAAAAATATGTTCAATGCACAAGTATGAAAATTTGTTACTATGGAAATGAGAATGTTTATAAATTCTGATATATGTAATTTTATATTAATTTTTTCATGAAATAATATCATCTGATTTTCAATACAGAGGTATAGATATTTTCATCTTTGTTAAAGACAAAGGAAGTTAGGATTATCCTGCTAAGAAATCAGAAAACCATGTAATCACAAAACCAATTTGTGGTGTTTAAAAAGAAAACTATACTAAACATTGTACATAATAAAAATTGTAGTTTGTAATATATTGTGTATCTTTAACAACATATCACTTGCACAGGGAATAGAGCAATGTCCAGACCTGAGCTTTTCTGCTGCCATTACTTTTTACAGAGATCCCATTGTCTTTTCAAAATAGTTTCAATTTAACTTGGAAATACTGCCTCACAGAGAGTTAAGGCAAAGAAATATATTCAACAAAAAGAATCAAAGTTATATTGTGGCCCAGAAAATGTCTGACTTGCCAAAAATCATGTAGCTAACTAATAAGTAGTGTGTGAACCCAGATCACCCAAAACTAAGTCCCAAGTACCTTCAGAATTTTCTAGAGAGAAGACCAACTACAGGTAGAGGGGAGTTTGCTGAGTTCTAACACCAGTTCTGCTACTATCAAGTCATTAAACTTCTCTATGTCTTGGTTTCCCCAATTTCATAGGATAATTTTAATGAAATATACAGGCAAATACTTGAATCCTAACATGCTAATAAGTTCTCATCCCCAGCACTAGTGACAACTGATGCTATTATCTTTTCTCTGGTTTTAGTTTTACCAGGTGTACTGGTTAATAATGCAGATTTTTTAATAGATGGAGTTATACATATTTTGATATATATGCTATTTGACATGTACGCTATTTTGTTGTATTGACAGCAAGCTTCAAAACTTCATATGTCAAATTTGCTGAAGGTGTTAACATCATAGATATTTTTATGCTTAAAAATGTCGAATTTTGTGCCAAAAGAAAAGCATTTGTGGGAAGTTTTAATTCATTACTTTATTTTGAAGAAAAGTACTGCTGAAAGTTATCATATACTTTGGGAAGCAGTTATCATATACTCTGGGAAGCTTACGGTAAACATGCTCCATCTCAAGATACTTGTAAACGCTGGTTTAAACGCTTTAAAAGTGATGATTTCGATGTAAAAGACAAAGAATGTCCAGGTCAACCAAAAAAAGTTTGAAGACCAACAATTACAAGCATTATTGGATGAAGATGCGTGTCAAACTCAAAAACAACTTGCAGAAAGATTAACCGTTGCTCAGCAAACAAATTGCCGATCATTTACAAGCAATGGGAAAGATATTAAAGGAAGGAAAATGGGTGAAATGTGTAGCTAGCGATGGACATTACTTTGAATAAAGCACTTTTGGTGTTTCTCTTGAAATTATTGTTTTCTTTTATTACAAAATCTGCATTTTTAACCATTAGGCAGATTAATTGGTAACGGGTTAAAAATGAGGATTAACCATTAACCGGTTAATCTTTTTGCAAGTTGTTTTGAGTTTGACACGCATCTTCATCCAATAATGCTTGTAATTGTTGGTCTTCAAACTTTTTCGGTTGACCTGGACGTTCTTTGTCTTTCACATCGAAAGCATCACTTTTAAAGCGTTTACAC